CCTTTGATTCAAGGACGGGTGGGGCAAGTTACATTGGGAACGGTGCCCACAGGGAGCGTGGAACCATTTCAGGCGTTCGGCATGAAGATCCGGATTAGGCGGCGGTTTGTCATCTTTCGGAGACCGGGCGAGAGGATGGTCAAACGACGACATTGAGGCCAAGCTGGTGGCCCACATGCGCGACGCAATGTTGAATGGACCCACGCCGTGGTGGACTGGACGCCAGGCTCGCACAACTACCCGCCGCACGGGAAGTTTGTCGAGGTAAGCGTTGACGTAACGATGTTTTATTGCGTGAGGTGCTAACAGGTTGTTTGATTTATCATTGCAGATTGAGATCGACCTGGGTGTTGGCTCCGAGGAGACGCAGGTGCTGGGCATCGACCTGACGCACGAGTACGTGGCCATTAATGCTGACTACCGCTCGTAGATTGAGCGTCACATTTTCGTCATAAACTCGACTCGAATGATATGACTGTCAATAAGGTCGGACGAAGGACTATTCTAATACACCCGGTGACTTCTTTACATCCGATTAATTGTACAAATTGTTTTTTATTAGTGCTTTTTTGATAAAAATTATTGTATCTCGTGACGGAAGAACCCAATCATGAGCTGCATTCGACGCTTCACTTTGTCAGGATCAGCGAATGCTTGACGTAGAACAGTCTCCAGACGCTCCTTATCGATCCCACGAAGGAAAGATCTGAAGCCTTCTCGTGTCTTGAGTTGACCTTGTCTCTCTCGCACCAACTGAACGAGGTGGCGATCACTCTCATGATTTCCAGGACCAAGTGTCAATTTCTGATTGAGTTGCAGCCGAGTTGGCGAGTTTTGCTGGTTGCAACTGGTGTTTGCGGTGTCGACACTTGTGGCTTCCTTTGTTACTCGAATGTTACGCGGTGACAGACAACTCGGAAGACCTGCAACACTTAAGTTGACGAAGTCTTTCTGCGTCGTCTTCCAGTTCGTCTCGCCACTTTTCGATCGCATTCAGACTTTCAGCCACATTAAAGAACGCAGTCTTGGGTACTAGCGTCGGACTACCGAGTTCCGATACCACGGCTGGACACACGCTTGATCTGTTATAGCACGAAACAAGGAGAGAAAATATGTTATCTACTATGGATATAGTCCTGTCATAGACGCTGATGCCACCGCACCAGATACAAAAAAATACTCACGGGATACTTACTCATCGTCGTCGCTGGAATCCTCGTTCTCCTCTTGTCTTTGGGAGCGTCTAAGTTGCTGTTTACTGCTCAGCGAAGTCGGTAGATGGCGCTTAGCAGTTGAGATGTCCACTGTAGGGGAGAGCACGTCCAGATTCCAGTCATGCTGACGTCCCAGAGCCTTCGTGTAGCTGGCTATTGACGTCTTGATTGGAGAACATGGTCGCTTCGTGTCATCGCTGCCATCTAAGATGAGGATGTCGACAGTAGACGTACCGGAGGACAGCCCACGACACTTTGAAGACCCCCCTCGCGACCTTGGTCTCGGTGGGACTCGTGCAGGCTCAACAAACGCTTCTCGGACGTTGACTCCATTTCGCAATACTCCAGCTGACGTGTTGGGTCGACGTTCCAGCCGAGCAACAATTGCTGCCCCATTTCCAGTGACGCCGTCGATGCTTCCTTTTCGTCGACATCTGCTGCGATTAGCTGTGGTGTCTTCGAGGTAGAGCGCTTTGTTGGTGTCACGGGGAACTTCGATTTGCGACGTACCGACACTATCTAGCTGCCAGGTTTTCAGCTCGTCCAAGATGGCGTCGCGAGACTTGTGCTTGTGGGTGTCAAGCTCTCGAGCTCGGTCAAGTGTGTCGGTGATGGAGATTCGTTGTGCTGGCGTCTTCGGGCGTTCCGGTAGTCCATGACTCGATGAAGGGCGTGTATTAACAGAGCTTGCAGAGTCCTCAGAACTGCCTCCCGTATGTTTGTAGAGATCGCGATTTGATCCCGTTGCCTCGTGTCGGTGTCGACGAAGCGCACTCGAGACGTTTCCGGCGAACACGATGTCGGTTCCATGAGTGAGGCGGCTACCGGAGTCGTCAGCACGAGGAGAATCCACTGGAAGTCCGTTCGATGAAAGCTGACGAGGACTTCTGAGCTCATTCGGCACCATCGGGTCAGAAGCTGATACATCGGTGTGAAGCCGATCTTGATGATTGCAGATGGCAGCGTCGATTTCTGAGTCCGACAACTTGACTCTCTCGCTGTCCGACAGTGCCTCGTCATCCAACGACACCAGTTGTGGCACGAAATTGGTAACAATCTGACGGTAGTGTTTGACGGTCTCAACTGAGTTCCCCGTTAGGTTAAGCGACATGAGCTGCGGACAGAACGCTGAAGCACGAGTTGTTAGTTATTGAAGATACCGAGTGGTGATACTGTTGACTGATCTTACCGAGTTGTTCGATCTGACCAATATCCGTGATTCGATTCCCTTCGAGGTCTGAAGCACAGTACAATGAGGTAAACGGTACGCCCCACCATCATTCAACAGCTTTAGACAAGCCGTACCAATCACACGAAGCTCCTCATGCATCGTCAGTGGGCTGATGTCGCTCACTTTGTTGTGCTGTAGATACAGCTCTTGCAAGTTCATGAGTGCTCCGATGCCGTCGAGATCGGAGATCTGGCAGTGCATCGCCCAAAGAACTCGCAATGATCGAAGCGATGTACCCAGATCCCGAAAGCTACTGAGGTTGCTCTGCTGCAACCGTAGTTGTTGCAGAGACGGCAAGAGTTCCCCTATCACTTCAACCGATTGTTTCGTCGAGTCGATCGATATCTGCAGTGAAGTGACGCGCTCGAGGTCATGACTCCCTGTCAATTGTATCTACACCACCGAGCATAAAAACATAAGGAACTAGGTCGAAAAGAGTTATCACGCAGGCCTCCAACTCACTAGCTTGTCCTCCGTGATGTCATCGAATGGATTATCGAGTTGCAAAGTTTCCAGTTCTGTATCTTGCTTTTTGGGCTGGTTTATTATTGGGGACAGCAACCCCAATGCACTGGCACCCAATCCACCGGTAGGAACGGGCGTTGGGTTGCAATCCCTCGGCAGCGTTCGGATGAGAAAACTTGTCTTGATGTCGGCAGGCTTTGGTGTCGGCTTCAGCTTCATGGTCGTGGAGGTAACAATCACATTCTCGTCCATTTCGTGGCGTAGATCACCCAGCACGACAGCGCTCATGGTTCCAACGCAGAGTCACCTTTTCCGTCAATTGCAAGTGCCACACTAACCAGACCTCGTCCTCCCCAACGCATCCACTATTAATATCTCCAAACCCAAAACACAACTGGCAACACGCATGTTGCAGTACCCAAGAATTTTTTTTATCTACTAAATGTAGCCATCCTTGCGTACCAGTATATCGGTACATTATTGGCAAAGAAAATGGTGGAGGACAAGAAGTCGCCGGCCATGACGCCGTCTATCGCCGCTGCACGCGAGTCGAAAGCTGAGCCTGACGTTCATGGGAAACCGTCGTACGTCTTTCTGCGTATAAAGCGCAAGCGCACCGACGACCCGATGGAGTGTCTGGTGGTGCACAGTGAGCCGGACTCGAAGCGTTCCAAGACGGACCTGGTACAGGCTTTTACGAATCTGTCGACCACTGAGAAGCGGTTCGTGTTCAAGCACATCGACACAGTGGAGGAGCCCATCACTCCAGGTCGCGTCAAGTGGACAGAACGACTCAAACGCAAGGCACGCTCGCTCAAAGATGAACGCGCCGACATGTTGGCCAAGAAGCAGCTCGTCCCAGTGTTCCAGACAGACCCCACGGCCTCCAAACAGACCGAAAAGCGTGTGAAACAACAGCAAAGTCGCTCTAAAGCACGTCGGAAAGAGGAAATGCTCAAGTCCAGAGGACTAGAACCTATTATGGAGATCAAGGAGAAGCAGACGATGGAACTGCACGGCATCCGACTGGTAGATCTACACGTCGCGACTGCAGCGAGCACAGAGAAGGACACAGAACAGGATATAGTAGAAACGAGCAAGACTGATGTCGTCACGGTCAACGGAGCGAGACTGAAGCCTACGCGTGTACTGAACCCGCACGAGCGCGAGCTGGATGAGGCGATTTGGACGGCGTTCCGAGCCAACGACTTCGCACCATTCTTCCAGATCTACCACGCGCGGCGACCTGAGCTTCGTGTAGACTCGACGTCATTTCAACGCCCAGCAGATGGAAGCTCGATACTTATGGCGGCAGCGCTACACGGACGCAGCGATGTGATCGAAGTGCTGTTGCGCTCGGGTAGTACGAGTGTTCTTCAGCAGGATTATGATGGAGCTACGGCTGCGATGTTCGCCAAGCGTGGAGGCCACATCAATGTGGAGACAGCACTACTTGCCTGTGAAGAAGCAGAGCACGAGAAGGACTACGTGTACGACGTTTACTGTGTTGATATTTCTGCCAGTGAAGGGCAACACGACGCAGCAACTAGAGACGAAGACGATGCAAAGCAAACAAGCGTGAATGGTGTGCCGGTTGTGAGTGTGAGCTCGGAGGTGCATCGGTGGCTGTCAGAAGATATGCCGAGCGAAGACGTGGAGGAATACATGCTCGAGTCCGATATCGATAGCAACGAAGAAGACGGGTACACATGCTTGTATAGATATCCGTGGCGCCGCTGAGGAACGGGCTTTATGTTAAGACCAAAATGCTCAGAGACGGCGGCTCGGTTGGATTTGTGTTTTTGACGGCTCTTTTTTCTGCCTGTGGCTGGCCTGATCTGTAGATTGAGCGAAGATTCCAATGACGAGGACCACGAGGCCAACGATTATCCAGACGAAGAGTCATCGGACGAGTCGCTGGCGGACAGC